TCAGTTTTTTGCAATATAAAACACAATTTTCGATGGAAAAAACCACTAAATTTCGCTGAAACGAAAATGAAATTAAAATTTTTGCAAAATCAAGGTGTGTTGGAACTTAGTATAAATTATATTGTTTTATGCATATAAAATTATTTATGCTTATTTTAAATAAATTTTGATTTATTTCAAAATTATTGTTTCAATTTTACGATATTCCGCTTAACAACAAATTATTGCATTGATTCTCCCAATTAGCAACATTGTTACACAGTACATTGTTAACAGATAGCTGACTATATTCGCAAGATTCCAAAAATTGCAATTTTTGACCATAATGCCAGTCAGAGAAAGTAATTCAAGTCCTCCTACGAGTTCGTACCAAGATGGTATAATTAAAACAAAACTGTACAATGGGTCTATGTTTCAAGGTTTTCAAAAGTCTCAGGGAACCTCTTATGATGTTGAAGTTATTTTACAGGTACAAATGATATCATGGGTTGTATTTTAGTAGAATGGTTTGTATTAATTTCAGAATGTTGACGTAAACAATAGTTTTTTATGTGGATATCTTAAAATTAATGGACTAACTTTCGAGTTTCCAACACTGACAACATTTTTTGATGGCGAAATTATTTCGAATAAACATCCCTTTTTAACAAGGAAATGGGAAGCTGACGAAGACGTTGATAAAGGACATTGGGTAGAACAATGATTTATTTGCCATATATTGTTTAGTTATTTTAAAAAGTTTAGGGAAAATTCTATGCTTTTGCCGATTACCAGGAAACGTTTAACTCCGACGATTTTGATTATGGTGCATTAGATAATAGCGACTATGTGTTTATGCGCTGGAAAGAACATTTCTTAGTACCGGATCATACAATAAAAGATATAAATGGAGCTTCTTTTGCTGGTTTCTACTACATATGTTTTACAAAATCGACTGGAAAGATGCAGGGCTATTATTATCATAGATCATCAGAATTGTATCAGTCTATTGAATTAAATCATGTTGCAAAAAAATGTACTGAAATATTCGAATTTAGGTGATTAACATAATATTAAGTACTTCAAATTTTGTATGTATTTAAAGATATTAACAAAGGCATAATTACATAAAAATATTTATTTGGAAATTCGCATATATTTATTGAATGTAAAAGTTTAACATATTTTCGCATTCTGAAAACACGACGCAATATGTTGTCTATATATACAATATTATACTAAAGTACATCTTATACAAATTATTTTTTTCCAATGAATACTTAAAGCGAAATGAAAATCATTAATCACGCAATGTTACAGCTGTTACGATTGAATCTCGAACTAGTTTTATGATTTATACATCTTGAGTTAAATCTTAAAGTATTAAAACATTGTGAAGTCGTTAAAGCATAAGATTTCAAAGTTGATTTGATTGATGGCGGTAGTGACAGAGAATCTATTGCGTAAACGCTAGTTCGCCTTACAATTGTCCGGTAGCACAGTTCTTGCAAAGATAAAACTTATAAAAACATAGATATTTATTAAGGACTTATTTTGAATACAATATAAAGTATGTTACCAATACCTTTATTACTGCGCCAAATTCTTTCCATGCCATTTCTGTGAAGCGCCATTCTGGCAAGCTCGCAAAATGATTCTCTCACATTAAAGTCGCACAAGGAAGATATTTCAAAACAAGACATATTATTGCGAGATGCGTATAATTCCGCCTGCTTGGCTGCAACTTGTCTTTTAAAAGCAAGATGTAGACGGTTACCTACAAGTACCTTTGGGATACCTGGAGCATGCTGTTTTATTATGGGTATAGAAAATCCACTTTAATACATTTCGACAAATATTCTTTCTTACCTCTTCTACCTCCTTCAACCATCTGTCAATACCATCAAAACTCCATTTATTTGTTATATCATACACTAATATAATGCCTTGAGCTCCCCTAGAATAAGATCTTATTATAGTGCAAAATCTTCCCTGGCCTGATGTATCCCATAATTGCAGTTTTACACGTTTTCCCTCAAGCAATATTATTGTTGTTTTGTAAGCTGTAATGAAAAGTTGATTTCAGTCACAACATATTGTATCAATTTACCATTGCCGCTGCAAAATGGGCTTTCAGATGACGCATCTTCTAATCCTGAAAGAATTTCATGTTTACCCACGTCACTGTCTCCAACCAGTAAAACTTTTAATAAGTAGTCATAATTCTTTGCCATTTTCTATATGACCGTAAGTTTAAAAATAACATTTACTATATTACTTTATTCATGCGTTACTTAAAAATTAATTTTAATTGAAATATTGATTTCATGTCATTCATTTAATTGTTTTACATGAGAACAAAATTAGCATATACACATTTCTGTAGTGATTTATAGATATTGCTTTTGCTACTAATAGTAATAATAGTATTACTGATTTTCTACAAACCTGTGATGTATCTTAAAATGATACAGAAAAATAATATATTCACATCTATATGCTAATATAATGTAGAGGTTTTAAATAAATGCTCTGAAAAAAATGAATACATCTAATTCAATACTGATTAAATTTCATTGATTTAATTAATACACACACACTTTAAAATGTAACTTGCAGCTATAAATACATTATAACAATTTTCCTCTATTTACGCTGTCTCAAACATAAGGTGTACATAAATCAATATATCAAATACAAAGAAACACATAGGGCCGCTCAACATAAATATTAATATCGTAACACAGCTATGTTCAGATAGCCAAATTTCCTTAATTTCGTTGAAAATAAATTTAAATTAATTTGAAAAGTGTTCATACTGCCACAATTTAAGAAAATCATATGTTTTGTATGCTTAAAACCAGGGTTCAGAAAAACACTGTGCTGTGCACAAAAATGCAAAACACCACGCACAAATGTTGTGCGATTCTAAATAAAATTTCACACCCATAAAATGTGTTGTGCGAAAACTTTTGTGCATATCTTAAGTGCCACATCTTGTGTGCACAAACAAAACACACATTTCACACGAATGTGGTGGAGTGAAATAAAACTCGCACACACATTCGGTGTTTGTGCCGAAGTTATTTCGCACAGCACATTGTGTGTGAGGCAGCCAGCTTGCCCTCGCACACAACGTGTGCAGAAAAGAAAACGAGAAGCACATTTTGTGTGCAGACTTGAAAATAAAAATGCACCTAAATGTGCGGAGACGAAATGTCTACTGCACATTTGTGTGAAATGATGATTTAAAAGCGCACAATATTATGACAAATATCGCAGCAAAATAGTACATAAAACTGATTTGTTTTAATTTTGGTCTTAATGCGAAATATTTTATTGAAGAAATAATTTTGTATTTATATTTTAATTTTGAATTTATTATTAGATTTACATTTATTGCTTATATTACTTATTATTTTAAGGTTTATTAATTTAAAACATGAGAATAAAGTTAATTTCACAATGTACTTGAAAACTTTGTTAAATTAAATAGGTACATGAATTTAATAGAGAAAGAGTATTTGTTTCGAAATGTTATAAGTAAAGAGGATCGGTTCTACGGATCGTACTTTGAAAAAATTAAATATATCAATTTTGGACTACTTCATAAAATTTTATTTAATAGTAAGTTGTACACTAAGATTCGTTAGTAAGGTTATAAAAAGCAAATTAAATATTTTTTACAACAACATAAATTAATTTTGTTATTAGATTTCACTTAATTTTTTATCTTTAATTACAGCTTAAATTTAACGAAGTTATTGAAATAATTTAATATCTTAATTTCTTATTAAAAAATATTTAATTTTAATTACATATTTTTTGAAATAAATTTTCATTTAATCTTATTAATAACATTGCTGAAATATTTTTTTCACTTAAATTATATCTTTGGTTACTTAGCACAGTAGAAAGGGCGCTAAAATCCTGCTACCTGTTCAAGAAAATATTTTCCTAATCTTTCGCGTTTTTTAATGAATGTTAGATACTCTACCTAAGTGAATACATATTTTTTGGGCATAAAAACATCTTCCTAAAATATGTTTTTATTTCTTTTAAACTGGTGCAAAACTTTCCAAACAAATACTTTAAGTTCACTTACTATATTTGCATTTAAAAATGCACAAAGTAATATACAAAAAACTAATATTTTAAGTTAAAATACAAATAAGGTTAAGACAGTTATAATTTTTAGTTAACATTACTTAACAAAAATAATTATTTTAAATATTTGTTAATTTATGCAATTTTTAATATAAGTTACAATCCCAACGAACGCAAATATCAATTTTTTCAAAATTTGCAACAGAATAATATTTCTATTTCAAACAAAATTGTGAAGTTCCTGTAATTTTTTCCACCCTTGGGTGCAAACGCAAAATCGCAGATTTGTGCACGTTTGTGCATCGCACATTTGTGCACATTTGTGCACGTTTGAGCAATCGCACATTTGTGCACATTTGTGCAATCGTAATATGAGCAACACACTCGTGTGCAGAGAGAATTGTTTGTCGCACAGTGCGGTGCGAGCATAAAATTTTCTCGCACATCTGATTGTGCACATTTTTGTAAA